TTGCTCTACAACTTCTCATTTAACCGCTGATCTCCCTAGCACAGACCTTGTACCAAGGGAGTTGTCGATCAGAAACTAGTTTGTACTCGTTACGAACATGTTTCGGAGCGCATCCACCGAGTTCGTTGCATGCGAAGAACGAATACATGTGTCTTCTCTATCGAGCAATAATTCAAACAGGTTTGCTCAGCAGCATTAGTGAACGAAAACTCTGATGGTGTAAAAAGGGGGCAAAATGGTGGTGTTGAGGACATAAGTATGCTTGAGTTTATAGCATCTTCGACTAGTGATGCTCTGGATGGTACTAATCCAGCAACAAAAAATAGATGTGTGATACTAGTTGTGATAAGAAATCACAAGAGCAAATTTCAGAAAATCAATTCCATAATGACAAAAATTCCGGTAGATTTCACCCTCTTTAGAGCTTAGAAATTAACCAAAAAACGAAAATAAAGAAATCGGAAGAGGTCAAAATAACGTCTAAAACGAGCTTGATGAATTTTTGACGGACACATTCGCTACCACTGCAAGCTTTGCGACGCTGGTCTTTTTCATTAAATGAAAACGCAAAAACGGATGCGTCTAAAGAAGCTGGTTTCTGTGAAATGAAACCTAAGTTTTGAATTTCTTCCGAGACGGTTATGAAAGCACTTGGCTGAGAAGATTGCGTATCAATGTGACCCTTGGCGTAGTTCGACGACAAATTAGCAGTTGTGGAATAAATATTGCATTAGAAATCACGCTTCAGTTCACGAAGAAAACATTAACCCATTGATCAGTGCGGGGCTTATAGAAATTCGATGTGGGAATATCAGGTTCTAGGATTACTGCAACTCATGACGGGAAATCAGATTGTCGTTAGCCATAGTAGAAGCCCTGTTGCTTCAAAAATGTTCACATGAAGCAAAAATTATGCGTCTTGAAGAAAAATGCAATCTAGCCACGAGTTTTCAAGATTATTTCATAACTCATATTCGCAACAGACTCCTAAAAGTGTTGGTTCCTACAAAATAATTTTTTGTACACCACAGGCGCTTCTCTGAATCGCCATCGTTACCGTAAAAGCGGAAGCAAAGCTGGTGATTGAATAGAAAAACATCGCCGAGAGTATTTGCGCGGAAGAAAAGCCCATCAAGAAAGCGATACATTTCTTTCAGTGCGTTAAAAAGAACCTGTACCTCAGCACTGCCCGATTTCTTTCCCATCGTTATACCAACCGGACAACACAAAGCCACTGAATGAAATAAAAAATTTGCGTCTATACGTGCACATTATATTCTTCAAATAATGTGTTGTCATTTATCACAACACATACTCTCTCACTCTCTCGCTCTCTCTCTCTATCGCTCTGACACTAGATCACGATGAGAAAAGATAGTAAGACTTTGATTGTCCGCACACACTCATTCTTCCAGCGGGGTTCTCCCCATTTTTGCCATTTGCTTGAATTATTCCGGCCAGGTTTGAAGAAAGCGAATGCCCCGAAATATTAGCCACAGTAAATTTTTTTTATAAAAGTGCTCGTATAAGCTTACGAATACAACAAAAGAATAATACAAAAAAACAAAAGTGTTGACTAACCCTTCTACCGCAATCAAATGCAAGTCAGTTTTCAAAGAATACGTGTGCGATGGTTTTAAGCGGTTTGTTTGAAGCAACTTAAATCTTCCAAGGAAACCACGACATTCATTTCCGGCCGTAGCCTTTCGAGGTAAGTGAACTCTCGTATGCATTACAAGCATAACGCCATGATATCACCAAGCAGTAAGAACATGAATACTCACATGAAATGTTTTTCCATTCCATTTAACTTTCACCTTATCTGTTTGTATTTGCAGTATAAGTTTATTACGACCCACTGGTCGTGCAATTTTAATGTTAATAGAGATTTCTAGATGAACATTTGAAACCCTGTTTCTGTCTTGATTGGTTCAGTAGTGGAGTAGTGAATACAGCCTCGATTGCACGCCTTGAGCTCTTCGCCACGCGAAACTTTTACTGCGTTACCGAATTCCCGTAGTTCTCTCATACCTCAAACTTGGTAATGAAAACTTTACCACATTGTCACAACAGTACTAATGTTCCGGGATTAATATACCGCAGCTGTATGGGGCTACGAACAATTACGGTTGCAAAATGATATTTGTTCACTGAGTATACGAAGTAATGTCGCGAGAGCATAAGTGATATAATATAATTGCTATTTAAATAAACGAATAGATAACAATGAAAGAGAAGAGTAGTTTGCTGAGCAGGGAAGACGGTTCGGGTAGCGAAAGGGTATCTAATGCAATTACTATTCAACTAACTCGACATGGTGCAAGAAGATACACAGCAACACATTTTATGGAGGAAGGAAAGAATACAAATTTACAATAATAATATTACAAAACTTATACAGGAGGTTAAAGCATTGTACAAAGTGACAAAGACTAATTCAATGGTCAATGTTTCAGTTAAGGAATGGGTCTCCTAACACTAACATTATAGTAACTGTCCCTTAAATAGTTCTTATTCTCTGTAATATCACATGTTTCCTATACTAACTATTTACTTATAACTATCTTAAATCTATCTATCCATAGTGTATAAGCCTTTAGACCGTTTCGACATGTACTCTTGGTAGAAGCCTTTGTACACGCTATTTCACCTCTTTCACATGACCTTTTGATAAGGCTTTGCGTCGTTTTCGCACAACCATCCTGTACGAGCTATTCCTTCGCTATCTGATAAAGTTCTATGTTGAGGAAGCCCCTGGCATACCGCCTTATCTGATCTACTTCTCTGCATGTACCGTCCCATGCCTTGAATCAGCACTATTTCTGACTCCCTCTGTAAACCCCACCCATTACAGAAAGAATATAAGGAGCACCAGCAGTCATAGAGACTAGTGTCTGTCTTCCAATCTACCAGTACTTGGGTTCCAACCCCAGTGCTTATCTTCCAGTCCCTCAATTCCTCAGTGCTCCAACTCCAGTGTCCGCCTAGCTTCCTTCAAGTGTATAACTTGTTCTCATTTTAATCTCGCTTGTATCCACCCAGCTTACATATCGTCAAATATAACACATTATTATTGTATTGTTGTTGTTGCTATGAGCTGTTATAACCCAAACTTAAGGTTGCTCAAAGCAGTTACGGAGAAAAGCTCCGCGTGGCGAATTCATATAAAGTCGAACATTCCACGAACAGTTGGCGGACAAAATACGAATCCGATCCACTCCCTAATCCATTGGCCAACTAGCATAAACATGACATGAAAGCTTGAACGACAGATTGATAAATTAAGAAGGGTTATCGTACAAATATTGCGTATGTTGACTGAGAGAGTGTTTAACAATTAACTACAGACTATGAACTGGTATATATACGGTACTACGATAGCCATATTTTATGTATTCTTAAGTACAATGAGGCTTATGTACAGGATTCATGAACCGCTGTAAGGAATTAGGAAGGTGTGTCGTTCAAAAATTACTTACGTGAATGGCAAATTAGGTTAATCTTGTTAAATTAGTTAAGAAATTGAGCAAGAAATAGACATGGACAGCATGGAGGGCAAGTGAGCAAATGCCTGAGGCTATTTGAACTGAAGATTAATTGTGAGAACAATACGGTGCATACATATGGAGATGGTGACAGATGAATTGTGGAATGAAACGGAGAGGAAACGTGAACGCAACATTCGATGCTAGAGAAGTGGAGGAGATTTACCTACGCTATCCTGATTACGCCACTGGGCAAGGAGGTATTGTAGTTATGGTGCCGCCAGATCACGTCCTCTCTCGGGTCGCCAGAAAGAGTTCCTTTATTAAATACGCAAAGGTACAGATGGTATTCGTTAAGTAGATAGAATCTTCTCTATTTTGTAGAAAAAATAGAGAATTCTTTGCAGTTTCATCCATCTCGAGATCTTTGGTTGAACAGTTCTAATCCCAGCAAGATCGACTACTAAACTACCACGCCGACCTTATTCGCATGCCTTCTTAACGTTGTGCTAGTAATAGAAACGAACCAACATTTAAGCAGTTGAGAAAGGATCTCTGCGTTTTAATTGTTTTAATTCTTATTGATGTATGTGCGCACCAGTTTGAATGGAACACCCGCAATGTCTGGGAACACTGACTTAACACCAAAGGGGAACTCATTTTTTATCTTTACTGTCGTAACGCAATACAACGTAACCTAACAAAATGCGTATGAACTCACATTACTTTCCGACTGCATCGTTAGTAACCGCCAATTATCGGAAAACTCCAGCGAACACTGACGAAATCCTTATCCAGTGTAGGTGCACGACATCATAATACTTCTTCTATGAAACAATGTTGTGTTTAGCGCTTCTGACAAAACTACCTATCTATAATTCGGCAGACCGCTGTGGTGGAGGTTAAGTGCACTCAAAAGCGACTTGTCAAGTTTTCCCGGGAAGGCGTAGAGATCCTCATTTATTTGAATCGATTCCACACCGCCTCCCACGCATATATTTCCCTCTCACGTCACTGCAAGCTGCCAGCCAATCTAATGTGTGTGGTGTATTCAGAACACATGAAAGAGTAACGCATGCATTCATGAATACTTCGGTACAGAAGATGTCGCTTCAGCCCTGCAGAAACAATCAGTCCGCCTCACTGAATCTACGTTTTAGGAACAAACAGGCATGAAAGAAGTTATTCATTTTATTGAAAGACGACCAAGTCAGGATTGTTAAGGAAATTAGATCCCACAGCTTTAGAAAACAAACCTATTAAATACTGTAAAGAGAAAAGAAGTATCTGTATCAAACTAGTACAGAAAACCACAGAAACATAGATTACTGATGCACGAAGAGACGTCGTAACGTAAAATAAAGTGAAAACATAAGCAAGTAAGGAGTGATTAACCCGCAACAATAATCAACACAAAGGAAATTCGGTTTATAAAAGAATCAGCAGGAATTTCTCACTATGATACGATCACGGCAGAGTAGAGCGGCCAAAGATCATTGCCATGATGACGCAAGCTTAAATCGATATTAGATTACGCACCCGACTTTCCAGTTCAAAGAGATGTTCATCATCTTCATCAGGAAACAACAGTCGCACTTCCTCTGCCAATTTCAGAACGTACCTAAAATCAGAGTCAGTTTAGCAATATCCACGACTTTGCGCAGCCTTTGTTTTTCTGATTAACACACTCGAAATTCGGTCCAGCGCACCCCTTAGCATGCCGAATCTCTCCGGCCATCTGCTCGATGTCCGCTTCTCCGAGATAAAACTCGTTATCCAGATGTGCTATGCAGGTCCAGACACGAACTAGATCTCCAGATTCTGCCAGTTCCACCATAATCTCTATAAAGTCGTAGCCATTTTTGATCTAAAATATCCATTTTTCCCTTATATTTTATCAAACAACGGATCTATGAAATAAGAATTATACTCACTTCTCTTTCCCAGAGATGGCTGAATGCCTGATGAATATTCTCCTCCCCTACTACCTCGTACACTATTCCTGTAACGAATGAATCCTCATCTTGAACGAGTGTCGCAACCCGTCCTGGCTAAAACTACGGTCATTAGTACACATTACGATGTCGTTGTTAAAATGGATATGAAAATATTAAAGTTCACAATGTAGCGAGAGAGAACAGTTAAGACACTACTATGATCGTACCGCAGAACACCATGTTATTCTCCAAGTATATTAGAAGGACACATCTCTTCGTTTACCATGGGTTCCATAATTTCTTCACAAGTTTCATTCACTTGGCCAGCTCAATAAAGAAAAGTAAATGTGCTGTTGCATTTTTAAGCCTAACAAACACTGGAGAATTTCGATAGTTGGATATATGGACCGCCCGTCCTCACCGCTTCTGCGAGCCTCAGCACAATCTCCGTTTTCCGGAGTTCTGCTGGTTTAGCCATTCTCTGGAGTCGCGAGGTCAGTTTAGCTAAATAAACTCTGCCCCAGGTCGTCACCACCACAGGCATTCACCGCCCTAGTGGATCAGAAGGAGATCTACCACTATGCGACTAGTTTGAAATCAGGACGATTGTGGATCCTGGTACTGGTTTACTCTTAGCTGGGCTTCTTGATGGAAACGCCGGACTCCTTCTTAGCGTCGGAGACCCTGCTAAGGGGGGGATGAATCTTCCCAAGTGTACATCGCAGCCCGACACCTAAGATCACCTCCCAGCCACGAGGAGGCGGTAAACAATTGGGAGAAAAACTGAAGAACTTATTAATATGCTAAAGCTTTCTAAGTCAACCGGTTCAAATTGGACCATTCCAGATAACAAAAATTAAGAAAATTATTTGCAAGCATAAAGGTTGTCCTACAGCCGATGAATTTTTTCTCCACTACAATAGAAGAATTATCGTTATTACTAAGAACTCTTAGAATCCTGAGCCTTTTCTAATCACAGACATGATTCTGTAAACAATTCAATAATTATAAGTATGCAGGATGTTTTCAAAAAAGTACCCAAGATATTTGAACCAATAATAAAAATTCACAAACATCTTTTCCCTCTTAGAAAAACGACAGCACTAGGAAAAAGTTTATACATACGGGAAAACATCTTGTTCTAACTGAAAAGACTTGGGCACCTTTTGACGATCTCCACGATGATAGGTGTTTCCTTGAAACATTCTACGAGCAAAACCATGAGCGTAGCCCTTCGCTTTGTGGGCAAAGGAAAATCCCGGATTCCACAATAGAGAGCCATAGCCAAAAAAGAACATGGACCTTTGAAAACCGGACGCTTGTTCAGTCATTGCTGCTGAAAAAGAAAACACATTCGCTTAATTTTGAGAAGTAGTAATGTACCTCAAAAAATGGTTGAATTTATGTAGGAATCAAAATTATTGCTGAGTTATCTAAGAACCGAATCTGAACCGATAAGTGAAATTATTTCCTAGTAAAAACACAGCACAGATTAATATGTAGAATTTCCTCGACTTATGCATGAGTTCAGTGTGGCCTTTGGAAAGTGCACAAGCAAAGCTTCCATACCTAACTCTAGTTCAGCAACTTTACCCAATAAATTCTAATTGCTCACGTGAGAGACTCATCATGGTTTGTTAACGGTTTCAGCGACGAAACCTTGCCACATGTTGATGAGGGGTATTCCGTCTTCCTCGTCTATGTCTAACACTACGTGGAACGCTGACGTCAAACAGTTAGTATTCGACAGCTGTCGTTATGACGCATCACACCAGCTGATTTTCAAAATCATAGCGCATGCGGCAATATCGACGATCGACCCCAAAGGTTCCGCATTCCTTCTCCCCCGTGTTACCGAACATTCCAAACATGACCTCTCCACGATAGGTTTTAATGAGCCTAACCCCAATCCTGTACATGCACTGTACAGATTTTCGAGACCTATTTTAAAGCGGAAAAACTGCTCAGGGCAGGGCGTTTTCCTTAGTGCCTTAGAATTTCATATCTGCTGCTCTGTGTACTCCTCAAATCGCTCGTTTTTTCTTCCTACTCTCTTCATGTAAATCGTTTATCACGTTTTTTTATCGACACACATAGTTCGATCAAGTGGTGATATTCATTTCGTTGGTCGCGAATGGAGTATTCGAAACAAATCCGTTTTCCATGAACATCCACTTTTTGAGATTAAATCTTTCCAGAAGCGTTGTCGAAATCGGCTAGCATTTCTTCCACCTAACTAATGACTGATTAAACAAAAACTAAATGGATGAAATGAGATCGTGGAATCTGTTGTTTCCAAGAAACGAATGAGTTTAACAACCATTCGGCTATAGTTTATTGCAATGCACTTTTCTCAAATCCTGCAGGGTTAGATCGGTTTTCTTCTGACAGCCTCGTTGAAGGTAATATGGATAGGGAGCTTGAAAAACAAGTAGCAAGAAGCTCGGGAGATAGGTACTGATCTTAGATTTCCTATAGAATGACATTAATTAGTTCCTCTGTCATCGTGTTGGAAGTCCTGAACCCGATAGGTAACGTATGAAATGGCTCGTAATTACCAAAACGCATTAATAAAAGCTGGAGGTTGGTGCTGTAGACTTTCTACGATCTTGCTGAGACCAATGCTACACAATTGCTCACCGAAGAAAAATCGTGCCCGATTTTGGATTTTTTACATACCCCTCATCACCTCTATTGTGCTGATCCCAGCACTTCTTGCATTCCATTCGTTTTCCCCATATCCATAGTCTACAATGGTCTTCGGACGTTTGGCATGTTGTTTCGGCCGGCGCGTGAAGATTTCGTCTTCTCTATAAGTATCGTAGAGTGCTGCTGGAGTTTATTTTCCGCGCAATCTTGGGGATTGCCAGGATAAAGCGTTCCCACATGGGCTGGAGGACAGCGCTGGGGAATGGGTCAAACTAACGCCTCTGATTGATGGCACCACTAACCATTGTGCTACCTTCCCCATGACTTTGAATTTGACTTCACTTGATACTTGATACTTGAACGGTCCGTTCTCACTAGTTGTGTGGGCCCCAGGATAATCACCATTTTTCGGAGATTTGCTGGTTAAGCCATTGTGGCTCCCTGGAATCCCGAAGGTAGCCTGGCCAAAGTCTGCACCAGGTCGTCACCACGACAGGCAGTCGCAGCGCTTGTGGATCAGAGGGAGATTTGCAACCATATGACGTTGATACCAGGACGGCGGTGGATCCTGGTATTGTTTTACCTCTAGCTAGGCTTCCTGATGGAAACGCCGGACTCCTTCTCAGCATGGAAGACCCTGCCGGGGGGACGAATCCCCCGTTGTACATCGCAGTCCGACACCTAGGAACACCTCCTAGCCACGATAAAGCGGTAAACCGTTGGAAGTTTGACTTTATATATATATATATATATATATATATATATATGTTTTGTATTGCAAAACAAAATGCTCTAACATGCTGACATTTGGCCTGCGATGAACACCCTATAACCCAGCTGAGGACCCACCATCTACCTCGTGATTCGAGACCTTCGTGAGTAAGAACCATGGCGACCTAGTAGGCTCTTAGTATAATAAGAGTAGAAAATCAAAACTAAAGTCGTAACAAGCAACAGGAAAAAAGGAAAAAGAAGATAACAGAAAGGTAATAAGTCCGAAAAAAAACTCCAAAAATAAAACACAAATCTTCCTTGGAGGTTTGTCATTATGGAAAGGAAGTATTCATAACTAAGAAATCGCTATGTACAGCTCGAAAACCTGGAGATAGAATTAAGAGTAAGCCAACATTTATAACACCAACATCGTAAGGGATTATATATATATTCTTCTTTCTCCTAAATATTCTGACTTCTAGCATCTTCAAATTCATTGGTGTTCAGATATAAATAATAGTAGAACTTGTTATATTTACGAATGAAAAAAACTGCGTGAAGTGTGTATTTGCTACATTATGATTCTAATTCGCCACAAAATTACTCCAAAACACATAACACGGTAGCAACGACTTCAAAAAAGGAAGAAAAGCAAAAGAGAATATCCATGCGCCATTCGACGCAGCACAACATTCAATGCGTGGGAGGGGCGTGGCTAGACGATTCGGACCGACGACACTGCTGCGACGCGCCGGCACCAACGGGCATTCACTAACCCTTCGGGTGGGGAAAGCCCTGAAAGTTACGTGGTACATCCCGCATCCCGCACCACTGCTCTTGTGGACCATGTAGGCTGAAATTATCACCTACCATGTGGATCGTACGAAACAGAACCATTAGTTTCCGGTAGTTGAATGTATTACAAAACAGAAGCACTCCCATGACCAGCGTTGTTTTAACTTCCGCATTTATTCGGCTAATGTTTCGGTGCCCCCACTGCTTTCGCCTTTTCCAGGGCCGCACTTATACAGTCTATTGTATATAGTTGTTCCTTCCTCAGATATGCGTCTTTGTGATCGCATCGAGTTGATTCCAGTGCAGCGACGCTCTAATTAAGTAACATTTTTTGACAGTGCTCTTTCATACAGGACGGTTGCTTATACTGACTGCGCATTGATCCAATCGGATTAACCCGGCTCTGAAGAAGATGAAAGCTCCGAGGAACATTAGCCTAATGACGTTTTTCGTCAACCTTGTGTTACCTTATAAATGAAAAGAATTGCTAACCGTTTTGTTCTTTACAGGCCTTCCAGTTATTTGGTGGAGACCAGTTGCACAGAGTCTTACAAGGGCGAGGAATATGCCGGGCTCAGGTAAAGAAGTAAGCCCTGAACTATGGCACAAGATCACGCATATTCGCAAGTACTCCTCCTAACGGTTCACTTTCGAATTTTTAGAATGGAATTGAACAATTTATCAATGATCAAAATACCATCGAACACTCTAAAAACCAACTAGTTCGTAACCCATCGCTAAAAACCAACTTTTATTTACCCTCAGGGTAAGAAACCAATACCTCCTTGGGTCATTTAGCTGACACAAGGTTTGTATAAAACATTTATTTCGTTAACATTTCCACGCCTTCGTTTCCTTCAAAGTCGGATTGACCCGATGATCCATAGGCGGTGGTCATCACGGTGTGGTTGCTCACTGTCGCACCGCACGTATCGTTCGTAAACGTTTCTAAATCTAAGCGAAACGAACAGTAACATAATTTTTCTTACCGCTGATTACGTGAATTCGGATATGGTGTACATGAGTTGTTGTAAAGCGTACGAGGACGAATATGTTGGTGAAACGGGTAGACCACTCTACTTCTGTACGAAAGAGCATTACGCGAAATTTGAAACCAAACAGAACACTCCGTTACTCACGCATGGGACTCGAAAGAATAACGGAGAAGATTTTGAAGCAAAAGTCCTAAACCTCACAGGGGAATCTAGAGCATCAGCGGGTAAAACTCTTGAAGCGCCCTGGATCAATTCCAGGAATTCAAAAATCGCAAGGATGAGTGTCCCGTAATCACGCGTGACCTCGCGCCACACCTCAGGGTGAATTTTTGACGTGACCCAGACACATTCTCCATCCATGTCGGACTCTTTGAGGTCGATCTCCACGAAATATCTGGAAGGCTTACAAAAAATAGAATAATGAATTCTTGAAACTAGCTGTTTAAAATGCGAATGAAATGTATTAAGTTTTCTATGCTAAAGTTATGAAAGTGTCTGGCTGAGTAGATTTTGTGTCACTCAAAAGCTTAATCGCTTTTTGCTCTAGATTTTTGAAGTTTTAAGGCAATCATTGGAAGAGATATGCGGGTACTGAAAAAAACGATGAAGCTCTCGGCGTTGATCAATCCCTGAGGGATGCGCCATGCGACTTCATTAAGTATTGTGAGAGATGATTGGATGCATATATGGCCTTTACAATACTCACGGCAGCCTAGCGATAAATCGAGCCACTACTGCTATCCTTCCAGACAGGTCTGGTACCAATTTGCCGACTCCGGATGGATGTAAGGCTTGGTGGGCCATGGACGCGGAGGTCAATTCTACGTGTGTGTGGTGGCAGTGGCGCCTCGAACCACTCCACTACACGCGCTCTGTCGGGTACTAAAGAATAGAGAAATAGACACAGCATAAGTTGCACAACACTTTCAATTGCTGACAACAATGTGTTTGCATGATGGGCCATAGTACTAGATAGTAAGTGGTGGCATACACACCCCAGAAGAGCGACAGAACGATGCTTCTTCTACAGTTCGGTGAACCCTCAAATCCTCCAATTTATGAAAAATTATCATCATCCATTGTCAAAAATTCTGAAACTCCTTAAATGTTGGAAATTAGGAGTCTCGTCAAGCGGCATGGGACGCTAAAAACCACCCGGGCGCTACATGTTTAATTGA